GTGAACGCCACCAACTTTGGCGGCACCAGCTTCTCCCCTGGGGTCCGTGTCTGGGCGCGGAGCCCCAAACGCATCATCCGCGGTGTCGGGTTTTTCGCCAGGGAAACGAGGGACATGGGAGCTGCCCATCGAGCTCCTGGGGATATCGATGTAAAAATTGGCTTGCATCTGCGGAAAAACACACTGTGGATGGACGAAATCCATTTCGCACCACCTGAGAAGCCCGGAATCATGATTCCCTTGTAAATACCAACCAACAATGGTTTCCTATGGTTTTAAAGTGGTGCAGGATTTCGTCCATCCACAGTATGATCATATGTATCATGTTCCCCCGTCGGTTTTAAAGGAAATCGAATTCCCTACTGGAAGTATAGTTCTATGTGTTCCAGGCGGCTTAGGCAAATGGAAGATTGTTCATTCAGGTTTGGCACTATAGTTTCACTTCCTGTGTCACTTTTTGGACCATTTTAGTCGTACATACAAAGTTCGACCTTTTTTTGACCAATCCACTCAGGAAGCAGAAATTGTAAATAGGAGGGAGGGGGTATCAAAGGAGGGGGAGGGGAATGGGCCGGGCTTGCAGCAGCGCTCGGGTTTCAGCCAATTAAGCAAGGGCGGATGCAGTTGGATCTCTCGTTCTGAACTCATCTTGATTGTTTGCAAGGGGCATCCAAATCAGGTTCACTTGGCGCACAATTAGGTTATTTTGAGAATTGTCAACAAATGTGCCATGCTCAAAGCAGCCTGTTGGTTGGGGTTCGTAAATTATTTCATCAGGATTCCTTTCAAGGTTCCCCTCAGTTTTGTAACTTGGTGCCTGAAGATGGGTTCGAAACTTTATACTACGCTACATGGGGGATATCAATCATGGGGGTCCTGACCGCAACCTCGCATGCTGTTCATTGGCGTAAGTTAAGTGTTTTTTTTTTTTAGGGCACCCACCAACAGTGGTGGGTTTCCTTTTTGTGTCCCTTTCAACCTACTAAAAAGGGGGTAACCTCACAAAAAAGATGCCCATGTATATACATGTTCTGCATTGGCTAAGCTCGAATGCAGCAAAGGTTTACTTCTGCTTGATGTTTCAAGTGTTCAGTGACGCTGATTGACCATTGGCTCCCCAATTTGCGTGTGTGTCAAAATGGGCAGCCCAAAAAGGGAGGTTATCCTTGTGATTCCCCTGAAACCTAGAAAAGGGTTCCCTCAAAACACGCAGCCCCATATCGGTTTAACGATCGGAGTCTCGAGGATTCAAGTCACGATGCGGATTTTGCCGATATGAAAAGGGAGAAGAACCTCCCTAGATGCGTCATGATCGTGTCGTCGTGGAGCCAACATTCCAAGGCTTGGTACGAAGGCCAAAAGGGCCCGAAGAAAGAAATCAGGTAAATTAATGGGTCAGCAAGCCAAACAAAGGCTGAAGTACCTAATATTTCTGCCACAAAAAGCTATGATCCATCTAAAGGTTTGTGGGGGACATCCTTGAACTTTTTGTGCGGCGCTTTGCAGCGCACGAACGCACATCCTCAAAGAAATATGTCTGGGGAACATGGACCCCCTTTGTGTGGATTCACACGGAAACCAAGAGGAAGCCGACCACCAGAGCAGCTTCGAAGGTTGTCCTATGAGCGCAGCAAGGGCGGTGGTTGTAAAAGTGGCAGACCACCACCCCAGCCATCCTCTTGAGACTTCAAAAAGCGGACGCTTTTTCGTTTGACGCATTGTGCTTAGAAGTCAATCTGGGCTGATTTTGAAACAGATTCTCTTGGTTTTCAGCCACCCTCCTCGAAATTTAGTTTGAATTTCTGGGTAAGCTAACTACGAAAGAGACTAATTATATATAATTAATTATATGTTTTGAGCAACATGAGGTACCAAGCAGATGGCCACGGTTCATCCCAAACTTCAGCCAAACTGGGAGGTGGACTATGTGGCCTACTTCCTGTGGTGCGCCTTTCCGCCTTCGGTCCCTAGAGGGGCCTAGAGGGTCCTAGAGGCTGAAAGCGAAAGAGAGGGTCGGTGGGGACATCCACAAAAAAACACCGCCGCCGATGGCTTCAAGCGGTATGCCACAAAACAGGAAATCTGCTGGTATTTACCCTCCCTCCAATCATGGAAGTGGACAGGCTTCCCCAGGAAAACAGTCAGCCTCAACACCCTCTCGCTTCCATGATTGGAGGGAGGGGCGATGATGGGCGGGGGCTCTTCGTGGGAACTCATGGGAAGGGAACCAGAAGGCTTGTTCGGTAATTTTTTTCGGGGAATCGAGTCAGAAACCACGCAGGATTTGATCGAAAGGTCCTTTGAATACGCGGGGTGACCATCAGAGGGAAACCGCCATTGAATTTTGCTATAAGGAAACTGGGATCGACTGGGAGTCATGGAGAAGCGATTCAATTCTCCAGTAGAGTCCCAATCAAAACCCAGGTGCATGAAGGTTTGTAAGGGATACTCCCAACTAAAAATGAGTGCAGCCGCAGCTGCCGGTTTAAACTCCTTGCATGTTTCTGGGATTGCGACCATTTTCATGCCAGGTTTTGATTACGACTCACTTGAGGTTTTGGGTAAGATCAGCTTGGTGGTGATCCGTTTTGACTTTTCAACTTGTTGTTTGTGCTTTGGGAAGATCAGATTGGTAGGTAACATGTTTAGGCTTGCTCTCGGATCTTCTTGCCGGTGCTCAGCGGTTTCCTTTATTCGGGAATCCCAAAATGGTTCATTCCATTTCACATTGCCTGCAATCGCAGGAGCAAGTCTTTTGGAGCCAAAAAATGGAGCGTCTCATCCTCACTCTCTAAGTTAGAAGTTGGACTTTAGCCAATCTAGGAGAGCTTCGGTCAAAGAACTGCTTGGGGGGTCCATGGTGTGGAACAAATCAACATGCAACCCAAAAAGGGTGTTCCCAGAAAACGAGTTTCGTCTGGAAATGGTTGGATGAAATGTGAAGGAACCTCAAGCCAGAACATAGGGTTCCCAGAAGCATCCTCTCAGGTTCTCAGGAGTTGTTCCGCCATGTTTCTCAGAATTGGGGAACTTCAGGTGGGTTTGCTTTTTGGCTTTCTTTTGGTTTGCCCTCCGAACGAACCCGAAGCCTAGGACTGGCGTGGCGTGGCGCCAGGTACCCGAAAGACTGGCCGGGTCTGCGTGACTGCGGCCGGAGGACCTGGCAGAGGAAGATAAATCAGAGGGGTTGGTTGGAGATGTTTAGTTTGGGGCCTGTTGCCAAGGGCTGTTAGGACTTTAGCTTTGTGATCCAACTAGTGGGTTTTCCACTAAACCACTAAACAGCTAAACACTTTTAGCAGGGGAGCAGAAAGCAAGCGAGTTGTTGTGTTGTTTCAAAGTTGCAATATGAAACGTCCGAATGAATCGTTGCATGATGCTTCGCACTTCAATGTTTGAATAGTTGCAACCAGTGGATTCCACCCTTTCAACGATTGAAAGGACGGGTCGTGTGTGTCAGCTGACAATATTGAAACGTAGGATTCTTATTCAAACGGGACACCCCTCTCCGTGGCTTCCCTCCCATGCAATCGGGACGTCCCCAAATATGTATAAGATATTTGCATATGGCCGTGGGCCGAAAATCGGGCAACCCCAAAATAGAGCCCTGGTAAATGGAAACCTGCACTAAAACCTGCGGTCCCCCGGTGGTTTAGTTTTGACCCATACCCATATAACTATACTAGCGTGAATACGTTAAGTGTCTCTGAAGCTGCTTTCAATGGGAGATTGACTAAGGGCCCTTTCATTTCCTGTTTCTGGACCTCCCAAAGTGATGAATTTGTTGGAACCCACCAGTAAACTTTTAAACTGCTAACTTTTGAGGGGAAATCCCGTGGCCATTTGAGTGGTGATAGGGGCACCTTTGACAGGGTTTACGACCGGCCTGAAGCCAGCTTGCAAACCGCTCAAAATCTCGGCTGTTTCCAGGAAAGAGCCCCGCCTTTTCTGACCCGAAGCTAACGCAGACGGCTTGTTCACTTGAAACCCATAAGCCCCAAGCAGCCAAGCAGACTGGAATTCCCCCAAAGAAACAATCTTGTTTGAGAGCCCCGGATATGTTTGAGGCAGGCTGGATTTCGCCTTCTTGCAAGTCGGAGAAGGGAACAAACAAGATGCCCACACTTCACCTGCGGGTGGCCCGGGAAACGGGAAGCCCCGACTCTGGCTTTGGTGGATGTTCTTGCCCCAAGCTGGTTTTGGGGGGAGATACCCCATGTTTGGGCACCTGTTCTGTGTGTGTGCTTTTTTGTTTTAGTTTGTGTACCTTCCATATCATTGATTTCATGCTACTGGGGACTCCTCCAAAGCTCGAACAAGGAGTTTATGTCTTAGGATTGACTACGAAGCAGAATCTGAACATTTGTTCTACGTGTTTCTCCTGTTTTGAAACAGGTTTGATTCGGGACAGCAGACACCCATGTATCTTAGTGGGCAGTCTTCAAAATGCTTGGTGGACATACACTCCAAGGCATGCCCGCATGAACATCTGATTTCTGAGTGCCCGAAACAAAGTTGGTTCTCTGTTGTTTGGCATCCGTGCTGCTGGACCGTTTTTTTCTTTTTGTGTGTGTGGTGGCATGTTTTGGTCAGTAAATCCTTGGTGGGTGGTTTGGATTGCTCATTTGGATTTGGATTCGGGTCCCTGGTTCTTGAGGGTTCAGGTGGGCACCCCCTCCAAGACCGAAACCACCGATTCGGGTCACCCCTTCTTGGAAGGAAGCTCCAAACCACCAACTAACATGGGAAGTGCACAAAAAAGTCGACTACTCCAGCACCAACCACGTTACTCGCAAGGGTACTAACTCCAATCAACATGCCCGGGCTTGGACCATTTTCCTAATATTGGACATCCGAACGTCAGGTTCCGTGTGAATTTTGGCGGGACCCGGCTTGGACCATTTTCCTAATGTTGGACACCCGAACGTCAGGTTCCATGTGAATTTTGGCGGGACCCGGCTTGGGGGTCGTGTTTTTTTTTTTGCTTAGCCCTGGTTGGCCCCAACCCTGGTTGGCCCCAACCCTGGTTGGTTGGTTGGTTGGTTGGTTGGTTGGTTGGTTGGTTGGTTGGTTGGTTGGTTGGGTTGGTTGGTTGGTTGGGTTGGGTTGGTTGGTTGGTTGGTTGGTGGGTTGGTTGGGTGGGTTGGGTGGGTTGGTTGGTTGGTTGGCTGGCTGGCTGGTTGGTTGGTTGGTTGGTTGGTTGGTTGGCTGGGCTGGTCGGCTGGTCGGCTGGTTGGCTGGGCTAGTCGGCTGGTCGGCTGGTTGGCTGGGTGAGCGGGGCTGGTCGGCTGGTTGGCTGGGTGAGCGGGTTTGGTTGGTTGGTTGGTTGGTTGGTTGGTTGGGTTGGTTGGGTTGGTTGGGTTGGTTGGTTGGTTGGTTGGTTGGTTGGTTGGTTGGTTGGTTGGTTGGTCGGTTGGTCGGTTGGTGGGTTGGTGGGTTGGTGGGTTGGTGGGTTGGTTGGGTTGGTTGGGTTGGTTGGGTTGGTTGGGTTGGTTGGTTGGTTGGTTGGTTGGTTGGCTGGCTGGCTGGCTGGCTGGCTGGTTGGTTGGTTGGTTGGTTGGTTGGTTGGTTGGCTGGGCTGGTCGGCTGGTTGGCTGGTTGGCTGGGTGAGTGGGGCTGGTCGGCTGGTTGGCTGGGTGAGCGGGGCTGGTCGGCTGGTTGGCTGGGTGAGCGGGGCTGGTCGGCTGGTTGGCTGGGTGAGCGGGTTTGTTTGGTTGGTTGGTTGGTTGGGTGGTTGGGTGGTTCGTTGGCTGGGGGTTGGTTCCAGGGCAGAGGGGGCCTGGGGGTCAGAAAAAGGAGGAGGGGTATTTATTTTAGGATTGTTTTCGTGTTTTTTTTTGTTCGCTTTTGGCTTCTTGGCTTCTTGGCTTCTTGGCTTCTTGGCTTCTTGGCTTCTTGGCTTCCTGGCTTCCTGGCTTCTTGGCTTCTTGGCTTCTCGGCTTCTTGGCTTCTCGGCTTCTTGGCTTCTTGGCTTTTCGGCTTCTTGGCTTCTGGGCTTCTTGGCTTCTTGGCTTCTTGGCTTCTTGGCTTCTTGGCTTCTTGGCTTTTCGGCTTCTTGGCTTCTCGGCTTCTGGGCTTCTTGGCTTCTCGGCTTCTGGGCTTCTAGGCTTTTCGGCTTTTTGCTGGTTTATGCAGCTTTTGGTGGCTTTTTGGCTTTTCGCATCCTCTGCATTCCCAGTTCCTCTTCGGCAGGTGGCGTTTTTCCGACATCATGGGGGGGGCTGCCGCCCCCCCCAACCCCCCCGCTACGTTTTAGATTTTCTGCAGAGATTTAATTAGTTGCACCCCTAGTTGAATCATCAATTCTTCGAACATCATGGGGGGGTTGCACCCCTAGTTGAATCATCAATTCTTCGACCATCATGGGGGGGGCTGCCGCCCCCCCCAACCCCCCCGCTACTTTTTAGACTTTTTGCAGAGATTTAATTGCACCCCTATTCAAATCATCACTTCTGCAAACAACATCGTGGGGGGGCTGCCGCCACCCCCAACCCCCCCGCTAATTTTATTCATTTTTTTATAGGGATTGACATGCCCTCCTACTTGAATCATCATTTCTTTGACCGGGTCACACGATTTGTTGGTGATGCTAGGGATGTTGGTCGGACATGCGGGGGATGTTGACGGGCTAGTGTAAAATGCGTCAATTTCGCGAGAAAATGCTGTAAAATACGACACTTTACTGGCCCGGCAGAGATTGAATTGCACCCCTGTTTGAATCATCACTTTTTCGAGCGTCCAATTTCGCGAAAAAATGCTGCCAAATACGACTTTTTAGGTAATCTGTGTAGTCCATGTATGTCTAATCATCACTTCTTCCAACATCATGGGGGGGGCTGCCGCCCCCCCCAACCCCCCCGCTACTTTTTAGACTTTTTTGCAGAGATTTAATTGCACCCCTATTCAAATCATCACTTCTGCAAACAACATCGTGGGGGGGGCTGCCGCCGCTACTTTTTAGACTTTTTGCAGGGATTTAATTGCACCCCTATTCGAATCATCACTGCTGCAACCATTATGGGGGGGGCTGCCGCCCCCCCCAACCCCCCCTGCTCTGTTTTTTTTTGGTCGCAAAGGAAAGAGCCAAAGACGCAGAGTAAAACTTTGCCCATAGTGTCAGTGCCTGGAACCAGGGCTAGCCAAAAACCAGGGCTAGTCAAAAAAAACACCCCAACCCCGGCTTGGACCATTTTCCTGATGTTGGACATCCGAACGTCAGGTTCCATGTGAATTTTGGCGGGACCCGGCTTGGACCATTTTCCTAATGTTGGACATCCGAACGTCAGGTTCCATGTGAATTTTGGCGGGAGCCGGCTTGGACCATTTTCCTAATGTTGGACACCCGAACGTCAGGTTCCATGTGAATTTTGGCGGGACTCGGCTTGGACCATTTTCCTAATGTTGGACACCCGAACGTCAGGTTCCATGTGAGTTTTGGCGGGACCCGGCTTGGACCATTTTCCTGATGTTGGACATCCGAACGTCAGGTTCCATGTGAATTTTGGCGGGACTCGGCTTGGGACCATTTTCCTAATGTTGGACACCCGAACGTCAGGTTCCATGTGAATTTTGGCGGGAGCCTTCTTGGACCATTTTCCTGATGTTGGACACCCGAACGCCAGGTTCCATGTGAATTTTGGCGGGACCCGGCTTGGACCATTTTCCTCATGTTGGACACCCGAACGTCAGGTTCCATGTGAATTTTGGCGGGAGCCGGCTTGGACCATTTTCCTCATGTTGGACACCCGAACGTCAGGTTCCATGTGAATTTTGGCGGGACTCGGCTTGGACCATTTTCCTAATGTTGGACACCCGAACGTCAGGTTCCATGTGAATTTTGGCGGGACCCGGCTTGGACCATTTTCCTGATGTTGGACATCCGAACGTCAGGTTCCATGTGAATTTTGGCGGGACCCGGCTTGGACCATTTTCCTAATGTTGGACATCCGAACGTCAGGTTCCATGTGAATTTTGGCGGGAGCCGGCTTGGACCATTTTCCTCATGTTGGACACCCGAACGTCAGGGTCCATGTGAATCAGCGGGAGGTTTTTTTTTTTAATCATGGCGATCCACTGCCCCTCAGGAAGTTCAGCCTTTCGCAATTTTGCTTGGATGTTAACTGTTAGGAATTTATTTTTTTGCCTTTCCCATTAAACCACCAAAAGTTGAACTTGTAGCAGGGGAGCGGAAAGCAACCGAGTCATCTGTTCGTGGGTTCACTGCCTCATTGCTCCGGAGGCCTCCTGCCCAGACACTCGGCGGAGCCGGAGGCGGATCGCCCTGCCTATGCCGCCGCCCAAGACGGCCCGAACGGGATGGAATCACTCCCCTGCACAAATCGTATTGTTGACCCGGGATGAATAAACCCCTGTTTATTAATATGGGGGGTGTTCGGTGTTCCCCTCCAAAAGTGATAAATCCCCACTAAAACCAGAAATGGACACCCCCAGATTAATAAATAAAAGAGGGGTTTATTAATGCGGGGTCAACATTATGCGCAAATGGCCGGGTGTGGTTCCTCTTTGTTGAGGAGGTGTCCTCTTTGTTTGGTGAACGAGGGCACGCACTCTCTGAGTTCCTGGAGTTGAGTCACTTTTGGGGATTGGACTATTTGGTGGTGAATATCAAACGTTAGACTTGTTTGGGCCCATCCGACTCAGGAAGTGAGTAGGGGCGGTGCTTTCTTGGAGAACCGCTTTTTGGCTTTAAAGGGACATCTTCAAAAGGGACATCTTTGTTTTGGGTGGGTTCTTTTATTTGGAGAACCGCTTTTTGGTTGGGTTTAAGGGGAATTGTTTTTTCCAACTTTTTTCGGGGGCGGGGGGGGGCGGGCGGGCTTCATTTGGAGAATCGCTGTTTGGTTGCTTTTAAAGGGACATCGTTGCCTTGGGGTGGGGACATCTTTGTTTTGGGTCGGGTTATTTTTTTGGGGAACCGCCTTTTGGTTGATTTTAAGGGACATCATTGTTTTGGGGCAGTTTTTTTGGGGGGTGGAAACGCTCTTTGTTCTGGGGCGGGTTCTTTTCTTGGAGAGCCGCATTTTGGTTGGGTTTAAAGGCAGATCTTTGTTTTGGGGTTGGTTCTTTTATCAGAGAGCCATTTTTGGTTGGTTTTAAAGATACATTTTTGTTTTGGGACGGGTTCTTTTATTGGAGAACCGCTTTTGGGTTGGGTTTTAAGAGACATCTTTGTTTTGGGGCTGGTTCTTCTTTTGGAGAAACGCTTTTGGTTGGTTTTAGAGGGCATAATTGGTTGGTTGGACCTATCTGTTGCGGTAAAAAAAAAAAGAAGAGTGGGGATTGGGATGTTCACTGGCGATACGGGATTTTGACCCATGGCCATGTGTTTTTCCAAAAGGGGCAATGCGGATGTTGGATTCTGGGAGATTGGCCGAGGTGGTGGACGCGCGTCACGGCACGCAGACCTCCATGGGATGCAGTCTGGGGCCAAATTGACACGGACGGAGGTTTGGTGGGGGGGGGGTCTTGCTGCGGATAGGCGAAATCCTGCACCACCTAAGAAGTCGTGGAATGATTCGATTCCCTTGTTAATACCAGCAAGCAATGGTTTCCCATGGTTTCAAGATTTCGTCCATCCACAGTCTTTGGGGGTTGTTTAACCTGGGGCGTGGCTCAGAATATGTGTTATTTGCCCCTGCCGGCGGTAGAGGGAATCGATTTCACTGGAAATGTTTATTCTTAGGGGACATTCGGGGACGCAAGCAAAGGGAGGACTTGTGTCACCCTTCAAAGGACTGCTGGCCTCCAGAGGGATCGCTGCCGCATGAGTTCTGTTCGACCTCTCGTGGTTCCTCTCGCTCTGCCCGAGTTGGCTTCGGACCTTTTCGGGGCCGGCGGACCCAATGGTCGGTGTTGTCCACACCAAAAAATTCGCGGCCTCCAGCAAGCGCAGAGAGAGACATGTTCCTTGTTCGCGTGACAAGACCGCTCCTTGATTTTCTGAAGGTCCTGACCAACCATTTTCTGAAGGTCATAGAGACTCCAGGTAAATCTTTAGTTAGAATGGCCGCCTCCGCCAAAACTTCCGTTTTTTGAGCATGGCCGGCTGCTGACAACGTCTTTCCACGGGGGCAATACACCATCGGCTATCCGCGGGCTGAAAAGGGGCTGCGTCCTTTGATTACTTGGGTCACAACGCCGCGAAAGCACGCCAAACTCCCGCATCTTGGCTAAAATGGGGTTTCTGAAAATTGGGGACCCCTCCAGGTACATGGGAACCCCAAAATGATGGTGATCCTTTTGCTTTCCCATGAAACCAACTTGAAAAGGCCGGGTTGCTACCATCCGAAAATGTGTCACGGCGTGTGAAAATATTGGAATGCCAAAATGGCCTCGGTTTTCCTTTTAGTTTCCCTTGAATCAGACCAGGCCTTGAATTGCGACAACAAAAGCACGCAAGTGATGGGTGGGCATGCATTCTCACCAAATCGTGATGTCCACCAAAGGGTCCCGCTGCCCTTTTTTGCGGTGCCATCCCTTCACTGTATCAGTATTCTTGTTTTTTGGTTCTGTTTTTTTAGAAGGGGGCTGGTGTCCTACTTGGCTGGAAGTAGTTTGCCACCTCTTGTGGGAAAAGGCCAAGAGGAAATCAAAAAATATCGTTTCTTGTTACCATGCCAACCTTCCAATTACTTAAGAATATGTTGTTGTTGGTTGCTTGCTTGCTTGCTTGGTTGCTTGCTTGGTTGCTTGGTTGGTTGGTTGGTCGGTTGGTCGGTCGGTTGGTTGGTTGCTTGGTTGCTTGGTTGGTTGCTTGCTTGCTTGGTTGCTTGCTTGCTTGGTTGGTTGGTTGGCTGTTTGTTTGTTTGTTTGTTTGTGTGTTTGTTTGTTTTTTTACTTTTCGGCTGTTGGTTTTAAAGGGACTCTATCACTACTGGAAGTATGTGCTCATTTTTCCTATTTTTCCCCCTGTTGGTTTTAAAGGGAATCTATCACTACTGGAAGTATTCCGGGGTCTTAACCAAATTCAAGCAAGGGTTGTGAAGCGGACAGCCCAAACGCATTACTGTGGAAAGCTCTGTCTGAGGCGCGGGGGTGCCGGCGCTCGGGGAGCGGCATGCCGCAGGGGCCCTGGAAAATTACGGTTGGCTCGCCGCTGGGTCATGTTTTTTTTGGGGGGGGAGTTTCATCCCCCGGTGGACTTAACTTCTGGGTTTTTACTTTTTTGGTTCCTTCCCCGGTAGGCTTTAAGGCAACTGTTCTTGGCAAGTGTGTTTTTCCTTGCTCTTCGGCTCTTTCATTTTTAGTAGGGGGCTGCAAACAACACGTCCTTTTTGCTACCAGACTTCTAGGGGTCCCTCTTCCACCATTTTGTAGTCACCGTGAGGGTAAGTTTGGGAGCGCAATGGAAGCAAGCCACTTTGGGGGGGCGGGGGTTTGAACAGCAACAAGCCGTTCAGCGGCTAGGCTCATTGTGGGTGCATTTTGACGGGGTCTCCAAATTACGGTTTGGTGGTTGTCTTTCTTTGTTCCAACATTTGCGGGAGGGACACTGAAAGGACTCAGCAATGTGGACCTCCTTCAAAAATTCTCGGGCGGGAGGCTAGCCAATTACTCTTCAACAATCTTCAACATATATTCCGCTCACTTCCTGAGTGGGTTGTCCCAAACAAGTCTGAGCTTGTCGGTTGCCACCAAATCGATCTTCCCAAAAAGTGACTCAAGCTGCTGGGAGTTGATTTGGTGGCGGAGCATGGCACACATTGCGAAAGTGCCGTGGCCAGAAAACGAGTCCGCGAAGTGCCCCTTTTGGGCAGCTTAGGTGTGAGCTAACGGGCGCAAGCATCATGCCAGTGCGTTTCCAAAAAAGCCAAGGGCACCCTCAAAAAAGACACCCATTGCCAGATGGCCGTGGGTCAAAACCAATGGTTGGTTGGTAGGTGCATCACCCATTTTAGTATTTTTTATTGGGGACTGGGATGTTCACTGTGGGGGTACGGGCTTTTGGCCCATGGCCATATTTATAGCTTGCGGGCGTTGTTTTCTTCCAACGTGGCATCGGACAAAGATCGAGTTATTCCCCGTGAGGAGACTTAGGGCTTGTTCCCGTCTCCAAATGAACCACAACGTGGAAATTCTGACTGAGGCTCATATGGATTTGGACAACCATAAGGATGGAAAAAAAGGCATCCATTTTTGGCTGGTTGAGGGGAACCCTTCCCTTCCCATACTGTGGTGTTGCGAAATCCGCTAATGTTGGCACTTGATTAATAAAGGGGCCCCCCCCCCTCTGCACAATGGAGGCGCTAGAAAAATGTAGGCTCACTTTTGGCACGTCCAAACAATGGAGGATTTTGGGGCCGGGCCCAATTCTACTTTAGTATTGCCGCTTCCTTTTTGCAATTCTACTTTAGTATTGCAACCACTTCTTCCTGAGCAGACTTTTTGGAATATTACTTTAATATTGCAACCACTTCCCTTTCAGTCCTTTCTGTAGCCATTCAAAGGGGTGTGCCTTTCAGCCAGGGAGGGCTTGAGCTAGAAAGAATCCAGGTTGGGCCAGCTTGAGCCACCTTGAGTCAGATGCATGGTTGGCCATGCCAGCTCAATTTACAGTCATTGGGCGCCAACCAGGAGAAAGAGACTGAGGAGAAGGGCATTCTGAGCCATGCTGAGACAGCTACACCGAGGAGAAGGTCGGCAGGAAGGAGTGGTTTCCAAGAAGTTCAGCCAGTTCAGCAAGCCACAATTCAGAACTTGAGCAGGGCTCAGGCTACAATTGGCTTCTACAGTGGCTTGCTTAAGGCTTTCAATGCTCTTAAGGAAATTCCGCTTGAGCAAAGAGCCATCCACATTCAGCAGGCTCAGCATGCCTTTTGCCTGGAGACTGTTGAGGAGCTTGAGGGCTGAAGGGGGGTTCAGACCTGCCTTTGTGCTGAGTTCAGGAGCCACACCACCAATTTTTTGATGGAGCTTCAGGTGTGATTGTTTGGGCATGTCGTTGGCATTTGGTATGGGGTCAACATGGATTTTGGGTGATTGTTTGGGGGGGATGGTTTTGATTAAAATTGATTTGTGGATTTTGTTTTTTTTTTTCGAATTTCCCCCCGGGCAAAAAAACATCAATTATTCTGGTCCCCTTCAACAATGGGAGCGAACCAGAATAAGGAAAACGCTTTCCATTATTATAGTCCAGTTGATTAGTCAAGTGCTAACATTACTCGCACCACGAAAGGAAACCATGGTCGCAAACATAACGCGTTGTATTTACGTTGGGAAAATCGAATTAGACACCAAGGGTTTCTGTTTTGGTGGCGCGAACGGATTTCGCAACCCGCAGTAAGGACTTCTTTAGGGATTCACGCTGAACCTTGAGTGTCGACCATGGCACCTAACACGGTCCCCCCCATTTCGGTCCCTTTGACCAGGGCTCCCTATATTTCCTCAAAGACATCACCCCACCAACAGCAGACTCCTTAACCAAAGTGCTTTTCTCCGGGGCAAACCCTCTTCCCCGTCCTTTCAATGCGGAATTGGGAGAGGGGGGATGTTTCGACCCCTGAAATTTCATGCATTCCATGTTCCCTTTTGTAGAACGGACTAGAAAATTGCATGCCCATGGTCCACTTCCGGGAAGACTTAGAACTAGGTATGGGTTTGCTTGTTTGGTCTGAAAAAGACCGCCTTTTTATTGAGGGGGGGTTCACCTGAGAAAGACACGTCAGTGGGTGCTTGTTTTCTTTCCCCTACAGACCAGGAAACGCAGAAAAACTCCTCTTTGACAAGAAAACAACTCCCCCCCTCCTTCCCCCCACCCCCGTTTTTGGGTTTCACGTGTTTGTTTTTCTAGTGGCTTGCGAGACGGGGCGCGGTATATATTTTACTCGAACCTTGTATTTTTTATAGCATTCCCAGCCTAAAAAATTCAGTGATCCGCTTGAATTTGAAGTTTTCCTGCGGGTCGACTTGGGCGCTTCGGAGTCCGAGTCTTCCGTGCGCCGCCGCTGAGAACTTGAACGCCCTGAAGCGGCAGAAGCAGCTGGAGTGCCACCCCACCCGCAAGCGCGCTGGCCCAAATTGAGGGTTGGGGGGGGGTGCGTGGGTGGGGGGTGGTGGAGTTTGGGGGGGGGAACCAAGGGACAACCTAGGTGTTTGTTTTTATCTGTGTCGTGTTATTTTTGTGGGGGGAGGGGTCCCTATTATTTGAGACAACTGATTTTTGGTCAAACTCATCCACGAAGCAAAAATGCGAAACGGACCCGTCGCACCGCCCCCCCCCGGAACGTGACATCAGCGCGGCGTGCATCACGAGCAAAAACATATGCAGCACGGCCTCAGAAGCCGTGGTTTCTGATAAATCCCCTATACATACCACAAAAAACCAACTGAATCCCTTCCCCCCCACCCCCCCCTTTTTTTTGTACCACCACCTAGGTCCCCCAGCTGGGTGCCCTTTCTCTCTCTCCCCTTTCTTGGGGTTGTGGGTTCCCCTATAGCATCCTAAAATCGACAAATCCGGGGCGAAAAAACAAAAAACATCAGGGTTGTGGGATCACTCGGGGTTTGTCCCCACTTCTGTGATACAAGGGAATCCCCTGTTTAAATGGGGGTGGTTGTCTTTGGGAGACCCTTTTTGTTGTATCAAAGAAGTGGTCATTTCCCACAGCCCTGAAAAACATCATGCCAACTTATATTCCAATCTCTCAAATCTGGAGGACCTAGCCACCCCATTACCACCCAGCCGAGTTTCTTCTTCTTGAGGTACCTGGAAGAATGCCGCACCGAGTGGGAGGAGTACGGAAAGAAGTTCAAGGCTGCGGCTTGGAACTCCATTCCAGGCAAGCCTCTAGAACTTTTCAGGGAATCCAAAAGTGAACAATCCCCACTAAAATCAGGGACACCCCCATATTGATAAGCAGGGGCTTATTAGGGTGTTCGTTAAGTGGGTTGGTGGGAATAAATCCACATATCTGGTGACCGCCTCGTCACCGCAGCTTGTGTGAGACATTTCATACCGTTGAAATCAAAATCCATGTGCTTCTTGCACCACGGAAGGAAGCCATGGTTGAATCCCTTGGTTGTTTTTACGTTGGGGGGCTCATGAGAAAGCAGGGATTCTTAGGTGCGAAATGGATTTCGTCCATTTGCAGATTTCGTTCGTCCACAGTATCTCGACGTTAGGGCGGTTGCGTCACCCATGAACATGAAGGTTTCTTTCGTTGGGATTCCCACTATTTATTGTTTCTGATCATTGGCCCAGATGGGTAAACACTGCAGTATAGTTGTGAAATAAGATCTCAGATGCAATTTCAGTTGTGATTTTTGCCCTGAACGATGAACATTGGCATTCGTATAGAACAGCGGACAGTTGTTTTTTTCCAGACTCGCTATTTTGCACGTTTGATTGGCTTCAGTTTGGTCATGCACCCGACCCACGGTGTTTGACCCCTCGTCGAGCCGCTTGAGACTTCAGGCGCTGGGCGCGCCCAAAGATTGCCCGCCCTACCCGTACACCTACAAGATCGTGGAGGACCGGGAGTTCATGTTTGGCTGGGCGTGTGGAAAAAGAACTGACAGGGACCCTTTAAACGGCTCGATGCCCCTTTTTGGCTTGCATTTATATATTAAAGCCAACTGCTGGGGGGGGCAGAACCCCCAAACTAAAGAATGACTGCTGGTCCTTGTGACCTCTCATCGCCCCAGGGAGACCTGTTGGACATTGGGTCGCGAGCTCGCAGAGACCCCCGGTAGTGCCCTTTCTCTGGAGGGTTCCCCGACTAAAATAGACTACGGAAAAAAGCTGCTACACCTCTACTGGAGGACCTAGGAGAGCAACTTGTTTGGTTTTGCTTCTCCAGGGCCAGCTTTCCCAGTTCACTTGTTCGTTGTTTGGGGGGGAAACCAGGCGAAAAGCCACCGCGATTTCACCCCCCCCCCCATTTTTAGAGAGAAACTCACGTTTCCAGCAGAGCATATCAGCCAACCAGCCAGTTGATCTTAGTGGCAACTGGTCTTTGAAGCTGAGAATATGTTACTTTAAAGCTACCATTCTCTACCTCCCGGCTGTTGGTGGAATAAGGAGAGACCAGGACATGTTTTGTTTTTTTGCGCAGTTGCGCCATGGGCAAAAAAGGCTTGCAAGGCATTCAACTCTGGGCGGCCTTGTTGGATGATGTCCTAGATATACGGAGGTGTGGTCGACTTAAAGGGAAGCCCAAGAAACCAAGAACACCATGGTTCCACTATTTCGACCCACACACATGCGGGTTGTCAAGGGTGACCCGTCTTGGCCCCGTTCCCCTTCGTTGTGCCCGTGGTTCATGGCTGGTACCGAATCCGCCCAGAGAGGCCTTTGGTTTGACAAATGGTTTCTCCTACAAAAGCCCAAGTTTGCGGACCGCTTTGGGTGAGAAAGGCAACTCCATGGCGCCCAAAAATCAACCTCCTAGTCCAAAAAGCACCTGAATGGGGGGGGGTCCGATAGAATATCATGCAGTTGTAGGAGTGGTCCTTCATAATTTTGGCACCCAAAGTCGACCATTGGCGCCAAGAGACGTCCTTCATTCATCTGAGAAAGCTTCAGAACGCACTAGTTCAGGTTCTAGAAACCTGTAGAGGGTCAAATTTTATGTGGAACACCCTGATATGGACAGCTCGGGGCCCGCTCGCTTGTCCTCTCCGGCTGGAGACGAAGGGCGCTTGGGTTCACTATAGCCGTAAGAGAGTCCGGCCCACCTCCGCCAGAGCCGGGACCCGGGATCCCATTTGTGTTTGCGTATCTAAACTTGCGATCTTCACGTAGGGGATAACACGTCGTAGAAAAACTATGTTTTGCGTGGTTTCCAAAAGGGGACCAAAGCCTGAGTTCATTCCCACATTCCCTACCTATCCCGCGAGGTCTGGTTGAGGACATAGTCTTCCATTTGCTGAAAGGAATCTTGTTTTGCATTGTCCCTTGTCGCTTTCAAAGGGAATCGCATGCCCTACTGGACATATGTTCTTTCATTTTCCTTACCTCTTAAAAACATAACTTTTCAACTTTTTGGGTAACATGGGCTATATGTGTGTAAAAGATTAACTTCCCCAGGGCTTGGAGGTTTAAGGGGTAAGTGTCCCTTTGGCGAAAAAGCAAATGGAAGTAGTAGCGCATCTGACCAAGGGCCCACGATTGCCATGGGCAGAATCGGAATGAGGGCGCCTTCCCCGATGTCGCCAAGAGACCAATCCAAAAAGCGGGTAGCCTCCTTACGGAGATCGGTTCATGAGCGCCTGCCAAGCTTAATTACTTGGAATCTAACGGTACTCTTACTTCCCGAGTTCTTGAACTTGTTTTTTTGAGAAGACCATTTTAGTGGCAAGCCATTTTGGAGAAGACCATTTTAGTGGCAAACGTGAGAACAGTTTGGACTCTTAGGGCCATCCCACTCAGGAAGTGAGTGCAAGGAGACGTTTTCTTGGCAAAACCCAGGGGGGTTTTGTTGGAGAAACGAGAGCCCTTGGCACGTCCATCCAGCCCCAGAGGCCCGAGCCGAAGTCCATTCCTCCCGAAACCCGGGAGCTCCTTTGCCCCGAAAAGCTGGGTGGCTGGGTGGCTCGCGTTTACAAAAGTGGAGCACAAAAGGGCACAAATGAGTGAAGTGGATGCTTTGAGGGTCCGACTCCGGGAGCATTGCATCCACTGAACTCATTTCAACTCCAGTCGCCGCGACTTTGAGTCCTTTTCACCTCCCACCCCGTCACCGTGTCACCCGTCGCCCGTCGCCCGTTTCACCGGCGGTCCGAAGTCCGAACGGGAGCTTGCCTCGCCAGAACCTGCTGGCGGAGAACGAGGCGGATGCCGCGCCGCAGCCTGAGACGCTGAAACATGGACAGTCCCATGGCAAGCCGAGAGAACTTCATAATGGTAACCCCGGATTAATAAACCCCCGGTCGATTAATAGGGGAGTGTCCCCTTTTAAGTGGGGATTCAGTCCGAGGGACCACCCCCCTAATAGTGGGACGGGTTTATTAATCCTGGGTCAACATTACTGTGGATGGAGGAAGTCCATTTCGCACCAATTTGAATCCATACTTCACTGTTCTTGGCATGTTTTTTTTGTTTTTTTAGTTTTTTGGTTCTGTTAATTTTTACTGGGGGTCTGCAAAAACAAAGTGTTTTGCTACCATACCAAGAGTAGGGATGCATAGGAAGCCATTGTTGGTTGTTATTTATAAGGGAATCGTGCTTCCCGGGTTTCTCAGGTGCAAAATGGATTTCGTCCATCCACAGTAGGGAATCCCCAGAAGTGGGTTGGTGGGAAGAAATCCACATTATGTCCAGTCCTTTTACGGGTGACCGCCTCATCACCGCAGCTTGTGTGAGACGTTTAATACGTGGACTTTTGCGAAATCCGCTTCTCGCACCACGGAAATGAAACCATGACTCATTTGCGTTGGGGAATCGAGGTGGTGCAGAAGTCCGTCTATCCACACAAAGCAGGTAGCCAATCCTTACCTCTATGGTTTACATGATGGCTTCCCCGGGTTACCTACTATGATTCCTATTTTGAGAGACACCTATACTTCCAGTTGCTTAAGAATAGTTCTTATTTTCTCCCGATAGTTTTCAATCGGAATCGATTTCACTATATACTGGACATGCTAGAGTTTTCAGGGGACGTAAACAAATAACCCGACCCAGGTCGAAGATGAGATAGCCTTTCTATTCCCTGCGGGCCTGGCGCGCGATCGGCAGGGCTGGGCAATCGATCCCCCTTGTTTTAGCCACGGTGGAAACTACGGTGGTTGCCAACTCAGCATTGCAAGTAGGGAATATTGGGGAAGCCCAGTTTACAAATTCATTCCCATCGTTTTGTGGTTTTGTAGGTTTACTTGCAATACTCAGTTGTTCAGTGGCACCCATTTTCCCTTTTTGTTGGTGGCTGCCCCACTAAAAATGGTCTTCCCAAAAAGGGTTCCCCTTTTTTTCCAGGGTCACTGAACAACTGAGACTATAATGGGGAACCCCCTCAAAAGTGGTTGGTGGACACAAATCCCCACCTAAATGATGTGCACCAAAGGGTCCCTAAGTAAAATTTACAGCCATTCAGGGGCATCCGCCGTGCCATTGGTTGAATCGCCTTTTGGTTTCCTTCTTTGTCGGGGTCCAGGGTCTGGTTTCGCGTGGCCCAGCCCTGCCCGCCTACGATAACGACCCGGCGCTTCTCGCCAAACAAAATGATGCGCGCGTGTCTGTGTGTGTTGTTGGGTTCCCTTCAAAGGGAAACCGTAAGGAAAAGTCACCGTTTTGGGGCGACCGCTAGTTTGATACAGTTGGGAGGGGAGGTTGCCACTGTTTGTGACATAAGCGGATGCCATTCAAAGTGATGTGGAAGAACGAGAGAGGGGCTGCCATGTCTCTTTTTACCTGGAATCCTGTCCCTTAAAAGCGAGGCTATGGCCACCGTGCTAGCACCGCAAGGAAAAAACATCCCACCGAGCTGTGGCTGGAGCTGTCCCCTTGGAACTGGAAAAGGTCCTGGCCCCAGCTAGGTGCCCTTTTACCAACTGTTTTGGGGGGGTTTGGGTTCCCCTACTAAAATCGACTACAGAAAAAAGGACGGCACCCTTATTCGAACCTCTCTACTGGAGGACCTAGATTTGTTTGATGCCAGAGGGCTCTGCAAGGTAGAGGCCTTGATTCAGAATGAAAACCGAGGGTGGTTGACAGGATCCCCGCCTGAATTGCGACGGGCCCCGTATAGCGTTTTAGCCTTGTAACTTTTTTAGCTTTGTAGCATTTTAGCATTTTAGTAGTTTGATTGGCTCTTTCCAATTTACTTGCCGTGGGTTGGTCTCGAATTGAATTGGCGAACCCTCCAGGTGGATGTTGTTGTCCTCTTTGGGCTTCGCTTTACAGCCGAAAAAGATACGGTACCAGCAAAAGACAACCTCTCATTGAGGGACACACCAATGTGCCAACCAACAGGTGACGCAACGCGTGACCGAATTGGCAGCTGAAGCAGCTGGGACTTGGACGCGAGTGAGCTAGCATTTGGACATGAGACTCGCGGCTCAAAGCTCGTGTTGAAACATCAGCTCCTCCCCCAGTTGCCAAGTGGCGCCCTTTTTTCAACTTTTTTTGGGGGAAGGGTTTTCCCTTTAAAGTCAACCAACCAAAAAAGGATGCCCTTTTTTTCCCATGGCCACTGGGCATCTGGGCTGCTGTTCCCAAAGGGGGCAACTGCTCCTGTTGGTCGACTGTGACTTTGGGGGGCAAGTTTCGATACCGCATTTTACCGGTGACTGGAAGGCAAGCTGCAGCAGGCCAAATATGCAATATACTCTAAAATATGTTTGTCAGGGTCAAGAAATGGAATTTTACTGCTTGGCCCAAACATCTATCAGCCCTTTTTGGAACCTCCAAAGGTGGTTTTCTCGCTTCAATTCGGACACCAACAGTATATGGATCAACTTTTGATTTGGGGAAATTGGGTTTCCCCGTGGCGTAACGGACGCCGCCCTCGCGCAACGCAACCGGATGGCTCCTCCCTGGCCCTGGCCTGGCAGGCGGAAGGATTAAGCGGCTAGCAGGGGGCCTCTTGCGCTCCTTTCATGGGGGCTGCGGGGGAGGGAGGGGGGGGGAGGGAGCCCAAATAAGCCCTAAGTAAGGCCTTATTAAGGGCTTAATAAGGGCTTATTTGGGCTCCCCCCCAGCCCCCATGATCCTTGAACGGTTCAACAACTCTACTGGGGTAGACTTAGGATTCATCTTACATTTTACCAGCGACTCAAAGTGAAGCAAACAATGGAATATGCATTCTATAACTGGGCCTAACTCTAATCGTGGGTTGAAAACTATTTTCCAGAGTCTAGGCAAAGCCTGAGATTTCTTAGCGCAGTCGTGGGGCAAAAATAAATTTGTGAGACTCTCGACAGCAAAACATTTTTTTTTTTCACAAGATGCCTGTATTCTAGGGGTTGATTCTTCCAGTTCAATAATCCTTGATCTTGCCGATCTTGCAGAACCCTGAAAAAGCAGGCCTTTGGCTGATGTTCATTTTTCAAGCAAGAGAGAGCAACATCAAGAAGGACCCTGTCTTTGCGTGTCCTTGGAAGACCATTCTTTTTCCTGGTTGGTTTTAGAGGGGAATCGATGTCCCTGCTGGAAATATGGTCTTTCCAGGGGACTTAAGCGTCGGGGTTGATTCCAACCGTTATTTTCAGTCATCTTTCTTTTCAATCACCAGCTGTTTCCCGAGTTGTTGCTGGTTGCCTGAAAAGAAGGATCCCTGGATTGAGAGGAAATGGAAGGTACCCCTAGAGCTCTGAGTGTGTCTTGTTTTGATTCCCCCCCCCCCCCACAAAAAATGGCGCAGCGTTTCCTTTGGCTTCATTTGAAGCCTCCGCAAAAAGGCTACCCCGCCAAAAAAGGACGGGCCTTCGGTTAAAGGTGGGAGGTGTGACGCTCAACGTGCACAGGCGGCTTTCCTTACCTCCGACTTTGGCCGAACCTGGTTTTTGGTTTGCCTTGGGGTGTTCTTCATTTTCCGTCGTCATGGAGATGCAATCGGGTTCGGCATATCAGAAGCAAAGTCGCATCAAGCTTGGGGTTTCGAAATCCGTTGGCCCGGGTCCCGAAATCCGTTGGCCTTCTCAAGGTGGTTGATTGAATTGTGTCGGGTTGCTTTGAAGGGAAGCGAAAGGAAGCCAGTGATTTTGGGCGGTCCGAATCAGCACTTTGACGAGGCATACAAAATGTTTGCCTCCCCCCAAGGGGGAAACACACCCAGAAAAGCGGGAGTCTTACTCCTTGAAGCTTGAAATCATGTTCACTTGGGACATTTGTTCGAAGGCCATGTTTTTGTGTGGCAAACAGAAAGTCTGGTTACTGTTGGCCGGCCCATCAACTGCGTGCTGATTTCCCTTCGGTTCGGGCAAACCTACGTTTTTGTTTTACTCCGGGCTCAGCTCCTTGGCCGTACCTAGCACCGGGGCTCTCAGCTCCTCTTGTGGCCCGCAGGCGTCATGGCAGGTGCGCTCTCGCCTGACGAATATCCTCGGGCTTTGGATTCTCGGGTTGCGCCGGGTCTTTGCAAGGCATGGGTCTGTGTTTCTCATTGGTTTGTTTGTTTGTTTGTTTGCTTGCTTGTCAGTTTGTTTGGCCGGTTAAGGGAATCCAAAGGAACAACCGCAATTTTGGGGTACCCCCTTTTGACACATAGCCATTTAGGGTACCCCTCTTGATGGGGGTTGGTGTCAAGGGAAACCCGGAAGAACCCATCAGTTTGGGAGTCCCCTGATTGTGATACATATTTCCATGGATCTTTGGGCAAATCAGTTCAGCGCCAGGCAAAGCCCGTGGATTGCTACTGTGGATGGACAAGCTCCATGTCGCACCGATTCGAACCCCTGGTGTTTGATTTGATTCCCCAAGAATGCCAAAGCTTCCGCAATGGGCGTAGGGAGCTCAACCCATACTGTGGATGGTTGCGAAATCCATTTCGCACCACTTTAAAACCACAGACAACCATTTTGATTTGGTACCGGCAGTGGAATCATCATGCCAGGGTGTCTTAGGTGCTGCGAAATGAGTTGCGTCCATCCACAGTATCCTTGGCAGGCTGCTGGTAGTGATCATCATGGTTCTTCCCATGAGTTAAGCCAGCTCAGCCCGGCAAACGTCTAATCTAACCTGAAGGCAACCTGAAGGGTGCGGGCCGCCATCGGGACGCAAAAGCGCTGAGAAGCATCAAGCTGGATCGATGCCCCGATGCTCCCCGGTTACAGCAAGTCCAGCAGTGCCATCAGTTGTGAACTAAACCTAGGTCCCCCAGTAGTGCCCTTTTACCAACTGTTTTGGGGGAGGGTTCCCCACTAAAATAGACTACAGAAAAAGGACGGCACTCTTATTCTAACCTCTCTACCGGAGGACCTACAAACAACTCACGGTCAACGTGCGTTGTATGGCCCATGCGCCCATGCAAGAAAAGTGTATTGTCTTTGGTGCATTTTGTTTGGATGTTAGGACTTCAACTTTTTGCCAACTAATGGGTGTTCCATTAAACCACTAAAAGTTAAACTTTAGCAGGGGAGCAGAAAGCAACCGAGTTGTTTTATCTTGCAACCGAGCAATGAGGAACCGATACTAACGCGTGCCAAATGAGCTTTCATGTCGCTGACTGTGGGGCAAACGCAAACTGCTTTGGCTTGAGCCACTATGAAACAAACATTCCTGGCCCCAAAATGATCATGGGTGACTTTTCCCATTTGGTGGTGAAAGTCATCTTGTTTGGCGGTTTCCATAATGGTCATCCCATGTAAAGAACCTTTCAATCCACCCTGTGGATGAACGAAATCCATTTCGCACCACTTTGAAACCATTGTTGAAACCATTGTTTGTTGGTATTTACAAGGGAATCATCATTCTAGGCTGACTGAGGTGCAGGATTTCGTCCATCCACGGTACCAGTTTGTTGGGCAGGCTTTCCGAGCTGAAAGGGTGCGGGTGACCCACCAGCTCGCCAATGGCACCTGGGACAAAACAAATCGGTGGATCTCGGTGCAAGATCCTGTAAAAAAATTGCCCCGCGAAACAAAGCCAGGGAAACGGACCAAGACCTGAGTTGAACTTTGAACTTTTTGGGAAGACAGACCATTTTAGCGGGGGTGCCACCACGCCCTCCAGCACGTCGAAGGCCGACTGGTCTGCCTGGTAATTATAAAGTTTGAGCTTTTTTTGAGCCTGGGCCACTCAGCCAGGGAGTCTAGGATGCTAA